AGATTTTATGATTCTATAGAAAATATCTAGAAGATCTAAATCTATAGAAACACAACATGGATCCCTAGTTACATAGACTAGAGGGGTGTAAATGGAGGAAATTGGAGAGGGATTGCTAATAGGCACAGGTTTTCATAAAAATATGCTAAAGTTAAGACTGTTATGAAGGTTGCACAATTTTATGAATGTATGAAAGACTACTGAATATAAGCATCAAGTAAATTTCATGGTATGTGAACTATATCTCAAAGCTGTTAAAATATTATAAAATATTAAGATAGTATCAGTACCCTACTAAAAATCAAAATATATTATTAAACCCAGTAATTATCAAAATAATAGGTAGAGAAATCATTTTATACTAAACTTTAAATTGATTATTATTTTTGAAATGCATGCATGTGAACATGGCCTGGGCTCCAAATAGCCTTATAGTTTAGAGGTCTCAATTTAAACTGCTTAATAAAGCATTAACTAAGCCTTATTATGGGAAAGATGGTAGAAAAAGGAGTAGAGAAATTTCAAAAATTCGTAATAAAATACCACAGCATTATTATCAGTATTTAATCAATTCAAGTAAACTGTAGAATCCCTGCTTTCTTTTATGTTATCATTCCTTTTTAAACTCTTAATTTTCATAGGTTTTTCTATTGTAAGACACCCACATCAGAGTGTTAGAATTTCTGCTTCAATAGGCACACATAATTAGAAAATTCAAAAGGTAAAGGAAGTATGCTGTATTTACCCACATTTGTGCTTTTCTTCCTTTTCTTTCCGGATATTCTAGGATTTCTTCCCTACATTTCCTTTCTATTTGGAAATATTCCTTGAAATACTCTTTCAGGCTGGATATGCTATGATAAACTGTTTTCCTTAATCTGGGAACATATTGATTCATCATCACCACCACCAGCACCACTTATTTCAGAAATAAATTTTTACTGGGTAAAAAATTCTAGGATATCTTTCAATAAGTAACTTCCATCATAGTAAGTCCATTTCCCCAGGTCTCCATGGTTTCTGATGAAAAATTTGCCATCATAATAATTGGTTTTTCTTCTTTAGGTAAAATGGCATCATTCTCTGGCAGCTTTCAGAGTGTTTAATTTTTATTTGATTTTGGGCAATTTGGCTACGATGTACCAGTCAAGGTATAGAAAGATCCAAGAGGATATACAGTATGCAGATGTAGACAGAGATTTGCCTTAAGAGATTGGTTTATGCAATTTCCAATCTGCAGGGAAAGCCAGTAGCACCCAGACCCAGGGAACAGGAGAGGTGGCAGTTACAGAATGTCACTACTATACAGATCCAGGCAGGAGCTGAGGCTGCAGTCAGAGGCAGTCTGTTCAGAAAACTCCTTCTTGTTTAGAAACAGCCAATCTTTGTCCCATTTAAGGCTTTGCATATTATGGCATGCTGTTTGCTTTACTGAGGAGTCCACAAATTTAAATGTAATCCTATAGGGGAGTTGGGGAACATCTTCACAGGAACATCTAGGAAAGTGACTAAATATCTCGGGCAACCTGACTCAGTCAAGTTGACATAAAACTAGCCACCACAATGTGTCTTGACACGTTTTTCTTTCTTTTCTTTTTGAGGGAGAAGTTCATTCTTTTTGTTTTCATTTATCATATTTGAACTTTAATTGGCTTCTTGAATATGTAGTTAAATTTGGGGAATTTTTAGCTACTGTTTGTCTTAATTACTTTTTTCTCTTTGCTGAGAAAAAATACCCAGTACACAAAGTTAAAGGGGAAAAAGTTTATTTAGCTCACAGTTTATAGGGGTTTCAGTTCATAATCAGCTGGCGCCAAGGCAGGGTGGCACATGGCACAGGGGCAACAGGTCATGGTGGCGCAAGACAAAAAAATCCACAAACAAGAAGGGGAGACAAGACTATCTGTCCTTTATACAGTATGCAAGCTATCTGTCCTAGGGCGGTTGTAGCACTCTCACCTTTAATCATAGCCAGAACTATGCCACACCAATCAGTGCAGTGATTTACTAATCACACACCCTTAATCCCAACATCACACACTCTAGATTCAGCCTCCTCTGAAAAAGCCCCACGAGGCTTTGGCGGGGACATCTAGTCACAAACCATACACTATTTCTTTGAACTTTTTCAAGCTACAACTCGTTTTCCTCTCTTTCCAGGAATCTGATGGCAATTTTCTTTAAACTCTTGTTGTAATTCCACAGGTCCTAAATCCCTGTTCAATTGTTTTTCAGAATCTTTTCTGTTAATTATTACCTAATATTTACAAATTACTGCATGAAGTTCTAATTTTTGAAACTAGGATGGAAAAAGAAGTTTCTCATTTCACAGCAGGCCACAGTCACCCAACATTTACTATAAAAACTTCTAATGACCAGAAAAACACTGCCTATTTCTATTAGAACATTTTAGAGTTTTTCATATTATTATAAGGGCTGTCTCACATTTTTAAAACACCTTAAAAGCAGAACCTTACATGATAATCCTAAAACTATTATTATAGAATCAATGTGCTAGATATGTGTGTGATTTACCAAATTTTTTGGGAAACCAGTATGAAATGCATTAACACAAAAGTTCAGGGATACAAATAAATTTAAACTGTTTGAATGTAAACTATTAGCTATAATATGACAAATATAGTTTTGCAGGCAGTTTGTATTCCTAATCTTTTTTCAGGAAATCACAATGCATAACACCTGAAACATTTCACTCTTCTCTTTTTTAATGTTAAATAGTAATACTTAAGCAAGCAGATAAGATGAAGAGTTCTCAACCAAGTTTCTCCAAAATGCCACTTGCAAATAGTATTAGAAAAGTTTTCATAAGGGATTAAACCTCAAGAGTTAACCCTTGAAAGTGATACAAACAAACATATTTGATGCAAAGAAACACTGAGGAGGAGCTAGAACCAAGTGGAATTAAAATATCAAACAATGCTCTGACAAACACACAAGCACACTTACAATGAAAACACCTTAAAACACTTATTTAAAGTGAATAGAAAATAAATAAAATATAAACTCAATGAATAACATTATCATTTCAATCATCAGAATTACATATATCCAAAATTTTTCATTGTTTTCACCCTTTGCCTTACAGAAAAAAAGAACACAGTTCAAAATCAATAGTATGGGGCTGGGGATTTAGCTCAGCAGCACAGTGCCTGCCTGGCAAGCACAAGGTCGTGAGCTCAATTCCCGGTACTGGAAAAAAAACAAAAAAAAACCAAAAACCAAAAAACAAAATAAATAGTATTATTTAATACAGAACCTCCATCAACTCAGAAATAAGCTTGTTTATATTAGTAGAATAAAAATCAAACATGTCAAGCTATATCTATCAAATTATATTAATATCCTAAATTTTATTAAAAATATTTTACTTAATTTGAGATTTTTTCTACTTTTATCAATATGATTTCTTACAAGAACTTCTGACATTCAGTTATCAACCATCTAAAATAAGTTCTATCCAGTCTAATGATGAAATTTAATCAACAAAAAAAATTTTCTACACTACAAGAATTTGCTTTTACATTTATTGTACTAACAATAAAAAATAATGTAGAGCTGGAGGTGAGGAAGCTCAGTAGTGAAGGACTTTTGCCTAGCATGCACAAAGCCATAGGTACAATGCCAAGCACCACAAAGAAATAAAAACTAAATGTCAGGTTGCACATTTACGATTAAATTATGGTATACAGTACTATAATGGGACATACTACAGAACAGAGACAAAACCAGGATAAGCTCATGTATACTGACAGAAAATATCTACGGATTGTATAGATTAAATATAGCAAGAAAGAATAAATTTCTAAAATAAGATTTTCTTGCAACAGCAACTCAAAACTAACACAATTTGGGGATAGTATATTTGCATACATGGAGAAATCCTATCTAGACAAATTACATCAAACTTCCATTAATGACTATCTCTGGAGAGAATTATTTGATTTTGATTTTAAAAAAATGTACTTTTCCATTACTTGCAGAAAAACAATGATCTAACATAGACATTTAAGATGAGGAAAGCAATTTAAAATTAATCTATAATTTCCTCTAAATGACTAAATTTATGTAGGCACAGAATCAAAAGAATAACATTTTAAATAATTATATCAATTTTATTACATGTTGCTAATTGACATATCACTTCTTTCATTACTGAAATGTACTTAGAGCTACTAAACTTATTTTATGTAAAGAAGTATAATATTTTTTCAGATTTTTATCACATCTTAATTTTTTTTCTATATCAAAGAAAGAACCCCATCAGAGACAAGAAGAGATGATGTGTTCACTAACTTTTTTTAAAATTTATTTTAAAAATAAAAGAAGGAAAATACAATAACAAACAGGCACCCATTTACAAAACAGAAAAAGAACAATACAAACAATACAGAGTTACAAACTTCTAGTAAATTAACAATGCTTGTTGTATTACGTATTGGTATCTTCAAAGTAGTTTCTCCGGAAAACAGAGACATGCAATATTGATCAATCAAGGAATCATTAACTGTTTCTTTCAGCAAATCAGCAAAGAAATAGAAGACAGTAGTTCAACTATGTTAGCTATCCTGTATATACATACATACAAAATTTTCCCTTCTTTCCCTTCTCTTTTACCACGTCCCAGTTGCCCTTTACCCTCGAGCATTTTCCTTTTGTTTCACAATGTCTATCATACCTCCTAGTTTTTACTCACTCTTTTGTGTTCACTAATTCTACTGTGTTCTATATTCAACTTTCTTCATCTGCTGAGATGTTATTCTCAAACAGCATGTAAGTTTTTATAAATGCAGAGTAATATCTAGTAGTACTTCATAATCTAATAAGCATACTTTTTGATGAACATTTACTGATCAACTGAACAGAACTGTATAATAAAGTAAGGATACGCTACAATCTGTAATCTGTACACTGCACAAGCCTAAGTGTACAGGCTTTACTGAAGTTTTCCAAGGTTTAAGGGAATAAACAGGCTCACAAACCTCTACCTTATATTCATCCACAATAATTCCAAGTGCTTCATGGCCCATTTTCCTCATGTCTTCCAATTCTTGTTTATGTTTTTCCTGGAGGAAAAAAAAAAGAACTAAATCCATGACCTGTTCCGTTTTGTTGTTAGAATAATAAGACCCTTAACTGTTATCTCCACAAATAATAGTTTGTAGCACACTAATGCAGATAATGACAGCAGATAAAAACAAAGAAAAGTTATTCAAACAGAAGTTCTATATGTAATATAACAACCATTGTGAATTCCTATCATCTTATTTTGAAATTCTGTATCATTTTTACTGTTTCAGTGTTATTTTGTTTTTGTCTTTTTTTTTTCACTTTAAAATAAAAAAAAAATATAAAAAAGCACTGGGAAGTACTGAGGCAATGAGTAATTAAAGGGAGAACAGCTGAGAAAGGATAACCATGATGAGAGGGCAGTGGTGCTTTCCCTCATGGTATTTGGATATTCCTGACCTTGGTGAAAAGACAGGAATCCTGTCTCAATAAGCTTGGGCCTCTATATTTTTAATTATTTATTCAGAGTAAGGTTATTAGCTCCCAATTCCACCTGTCTAGGACAGGAGAGTTTTTCAAATACCATACCCAAGTTTCAATACAAAATTACTAGTGATAACAGACAAACAACAAAGGAAAATGTAAAGCAGAGAAAACAAAATAAATAGATATATGTATGCTTCAGCTATTAGTTATCAAAGAATTTTATAAAACAGAACAAGTGGAGATGAAATGTAAAAAATAAACTACAAAACAAACATAACTTACCACAACTGAAACAAGTATAATCACAAAATCGGAATAGTTGTACTAAAGGAATCAACAACAACAAAAAGCCAATACACATAGAAATACTTCTGACAAAGAGATGGCTCCAATAAATTTTAACACATGTTTAAGAAAGAAGTAACCCATAAAAGAGAAAAACAGAAAATATTTTTTAGTATATTTTATTGGGGTAACAGGGTAATATATATCTCACACTAATATTTGCAATTATTTAAAAGAAAATAAAATTAGGAATAAATTTCTTTTTCTAAAAGAAATTTATTTTAAAATAGATTTCTTTTTCTAAAATTCTAAACAAAATACTAGCAAATTAACTACAGGGGCACATGACAGTAACTTCCATCAAGTGGGATATCAGTTTGGTAGGAGGTAAGAATCACAAAAGCTTCTCATACAACCCACAACATGCTCCTTTTCTTGGTCATTCACCTGCCAAATATCAATGCCCAAGTCAATAGGAAAAGCCACATACCACAGATGGCAAAATCTCTAATAGCGCGGGACCCCAGAATGACAGCACCATCACCTCATGGACTCTGAGGGAAAACTATACTCAAATATACTGTATTCAGGATAACGGCAACAGTCCCATCTACTTACTACTACTAGCTGCTCTTTCAAGTTTTTCTCATTTACTGTACTATGCTGATTCAACAAGTTTATACAGCTAAATTACTATTTCTCAAAATTGCCTAAGCATAAAGAAACATCTCAGGCATCTGTTATAAACACAGATTTTTGTTGGTAGGATCACCAACCTATGTATGGTTCATGGTGGCTATTTCTTGAGCTATACTTCCATCTTTGTAATAGATGACTTAGTTATAACTAGATCACACAGCTGCTAACTCCAATTACCTTGTAAAAGAAAGTCATCCATTATTCAATATTACACTAACATAAACACACGAGGATGTCACTATGAATTGCCACCTTGGACTACTGCCACGCTCCTCACTGTCAGTCCTAGTCAGAGTAGTTAGGCAAGAAAAATCAATGACAGACATCCAACTCAGAAATGATGAAGTAAGCCTATCTCTGCTTATAGATGACATGAACTTATCTACAGAAAGACTTCCCTCAAGACTTCCCAAAAAACACAAGTAATAAACAAATTTAGTAAAACTGTAACATACGAAAGTGTTTCTATATTCTAACAATAAACTACCACATGTGAACATTCCCCCTCCTTCTATGTCCTATGTTACTACCAGTTTTTTTCATGACATACCCCAACTTCTACATCTAGGAGTCCCTGGAGATCTGGTCTCTTCTCTAATGAATCATGAACCTATCATTTTACATACTATCTCTATATAACTACTTAGTATAGATATTTCAAACCTTGTCATGGCTGATTGCCAGGTTCATTCCTCTAACTGCCTATAATCTTGTTTACATGGATATCTAAAAGGAATCTCGAGGTTAACAAATTTAATGTCAAACTCTCGCTCTTCCACTATCAATCTTCCAGTTGTGTAAAGTATCTTGAAATCATTTTTTTTATTTCTCTCTTTTTTCCCCTCATGAGCCATAAGCAATCCTTCAGAAAACCTTGCTGATTTGATTTTCATCTTCAACTCCTTAACCAACTCTGGAATAATATGACTGTGTGCAAGGCACTGTTCCAAACCCTTTACAAACACTGCTTCTGCATGTATCTGAGAGTATAACCATGTCACAACCCACTCTCTGCACACTTTGCAACAGCTTCACTACAACTCCTCTCATCCAGATCATGAGCATTTCTCACCAGGATTACTAAACACCCTTGCCACTGAAATGCCACTCTCTCCCCCATAAAGCAGTTAGGATAATACCCTTTCAAAATTTAAGCAAAATCATAAAGACTACAAAATGTAATCTCTAAGATACCAGGAATTGCTCACTGTGTCCATAGCACCTAAAATATATCACTGTACCAGGTACAGTGGGCGGTCCCTAAGTGTTGAATAGTGAAACACCACACACATGCCCAAATTTCCTCAAAGATGAAGCCTAAAAATGACCTTATCAGAGACAGTCCCTGACTATTCTTGCCTGAAGTGTTGCACACTCATCACTAGGTGACAGTGAATCTTGACTGTCCATTTGACAGGCTTAAGAGATGCCTAGCAGATCCATAAAGCCCACTTCTGGCTGTGCCTGTGGGTGCACCCAGCAATGACCAGCACAGAAGCTGGCACACTGTGGGGGGAGAAACACAACCATCCAATAGGCTTGCAGGCAGGGTCAAATGAAAAGGAGGAGGAGGAAGTTTGCCTGTATTTGAAAAGCTCCACTCTGCTTGATTGGGTAGGTCTTTTGCTTCTGTCATCACTTGTGGACTTCACAGTCCAGCTTCTTAGCTTTCAAAACACACACACACACACACACACACACACCAGCAAATGTGAATGGGCTTCCAGGCCTTCACTCAGACAGGCACTACATCTTTAACCCCTCTTGTTCTATGGCTTCCAAATTCTTGGACTGAGCAGCTACTGGATGCTGTGACTCTTTGGCATGCAGACAGTCACTGTGGACTCTCCCACCTTGGATCCTATAATTCTATCTAATAAAGCCCTTTGCATTTTATATAACAGATACATACATATATACGTGTATTTTACATGTGTGTATATATGTGCATTATATGTATGCATTATATATAAATTTTTCTATTAGTTCTACTCCTCTAGACAACCCTAACAATACAACTAGCCATTAATCACTATTTTTCTTCAGAGCACTTACCACTATTAAACATTTTGCATTTATTGTTCAATGCCTGTCTTCCTCAAACATAGAATACACTAACAAAGATAACAGTACTCCCTAGCACTATGGCTTGCAGGAAGATGAGGAAAGATAAATACCAGAAAGACTTCAAAGTCTGACAAAATCTTCAGTTGAAGAAGGTGGTTTTACTTCATACTGAATATATATGTCTCAAATGGGGCCTGATATATAGTGTCTGCTGAATTAATAAGGACAGGATAAAGAAAGAAATAGAATGGTAAGGATCTGAATGCCAAATAAATTTGAGAAGTGAGAAAGGAATTCCATCAAAGACAGACAGAGATATTCAACATCAAAATAAGAAAGTTAAAAACTTGTGCAAAGACTGGCCTTAAAATTGCATGAATAAATGAGATAAAAATGAATGTTCTTTTCTAATACATACAAGCTAAACATAAAAATTAAACAGCTTGGGGCATCTTCTTTTATCTGTTAACTGGAAAGTTGGATTAAAGTATTTCTAAAATACCTTTCCAGTTTCTTAATGCTATTCTATGATACAGTATGCTATAATAAGAACAACTGACTCACCGTTGTTTAAAGTTACTAATACAGTACAACATACTGTAAAACAGAAGTCTGTCCAGTTACAAGAAGAAAAACAAAGGCATAATCAAATAGTCATACATAGCCTGGAATTTTCATCTCAAGAATATACAGCCAAAAATTTACACTCTTCAAAGTAGTAAAAGTCAAATTTAACCAAATGGTAGCTTTCTTTCAAAATGTAAAATCCCAAAGCATCACTACAAAGATGCTATAAAACTTCTTCACCTTAAAAAAAAGTATAGAATTTCTGAACAAGAAAAGATGTCAAAAATAACTATTCTAATGTCCTCATTTTATAAATGAAAAACTGAGGCCTACAGAAGTCAAGAAATTTGTTCAAAATTACTGAGTTCCGTAAGGGCAAGGAAAAGTCTAAATCAGAATTCTTGATAGTTGTCCCAATGTTTATATAAAAATATCCCAGGGGGATATTTGGTGTATACATGGAATGCCAGAAATCTGGGAGACTGAGACAGGAAGAACATTAGTGAGACTTTTTTTTCACATAAAATAAAAATTCTGTCAGAAACTGAAATATTTAAATGTATTTTTAATAACTAATCAACAAGATGGTTTTCTATATAAATTTCAATAATACATAAACTCATATGGCAGACATTATACCTTGTGAAGAAACTAAGAGGCAATTGGTCACACTTAGTAAAACCTGAGCTGGTCATTCATCTCTTCCTTGTTTCCAACTAGAAACTTTGGTCAGATAAAAATGCTCCAAAGTAAGATATCTTTCAAAGTTTATCAAAAACATGCCCCAACCAAACCACCAGTGCACGTAACTACTCCAATCTCAACTCCTTGCTTTTCAAAGTCACTTAATATACTTAGGGCTCATAACTTTAATATGGCTGGACATGATTAGTAATCAAAAAAGTATCTGTTGAATAGATACACAAGTAAACAAGCAATTGTACAATCAACA